GATTTCAGAAATAGTTGCAAAATCTCAATAACTCAAAAGAAATATGAATTACAATTCTCAGGATCGTTTTGTGGCTACAACAAAAACCTAATACAAAATAAAACTCGATCTTCGGCAATCCAAATGAAGCCTATTTATAACAATTTTTGGGAAAACCTTAAAACATAAAACGACAACGTAAAAGCGGTTCAAACGTTGTTTTGACTAAGTTGGTCGAGTGAGCATCTCGATTGACCATCTTCTCTGCTTTACTCGATCGTGTCACTCGAGTGAGTGGGTCGAGTGACCTGTAAAACAATCAGCTACTTCTTTGCTTTGCTCGATCATGTCACTCGAGTGAGTGCATCGAGTGACAGGTAGTTCTGCTTCGCTTCCCTTCTGCTCGATCTGCCACTCGATCGTATACGTCTGCTGCTCACTCGAACGTCAATGTAACTGCAACGCATCCATGCTTCTCACTCGATCGTCCCACTCGATCGTGTGCATGTCGAGTAACGCTTGTTCCTCTGCTTCGCTCTACATGTCTCCTAAGTACCTGAAACACTCCAAATATGCACAATGTATGCAAGATATGCATGATATGCATGATATGCATAAAACCTACCTAAGTATGTAAAACATGCAGAAAGGGATCAATATGATGCGAATCAACAAATGAATGATGCTGAATAGATGCAGAAAGGGATCAATATGATGCGAATCAACAAATGAATGATGCTGAATAGATGATGAATGCATACTCAAAAAGCAATGAAATACAGACTTATCAACTCCCCCAAACTTAGTCTTTGCTTGCCCTCAAGCAAAGCAAAAAGAAACAAAGTGGAAGAGAGGTTTGAAAATGGGGTCTCAAAACCTGTAACTCGCAAGATAGAGCAGTTAAAATCAATGTCCTGGTTGCTAAGTCTTTGATGCATGCTGAGAGAACTTTACTTAACGACTTTAGACAAACTCATCAAATCCGAAACTGATTATATCCCTTGATCTACACATGCATTCAAATCATT